AACGTCATGGTTTTTTGCCTTTTTTAATCAAGTCCATATGTATTTAGAAGCTGATATCCTTTTAATGGAACGAAATATTACATAACCTGATTTCATTTTAATTAATACAGCAATACTTTATTTAAACATGTAAATTTTATTTCGTTTCAGCTCCATTTATTAGAGGTATAGCTGTAAATACTATGAAGTGAAAACTAGAAAATTACTCAATTTTGATGGTGCTCCGTGACCCCATTTTTGCTGTTCTAAATCCTTGGTAATTTTAATAAATATGAGGACACATTCCAATTTTTTTAACTCAAATTATTTGAATCTATTGTTAAAATATTTGTACCAAATTTGGATATAATATGACGTTAAATAAAAAAGTTAGGACAAAAGTCTACGAACTTTTTGAATGACCCTCGTATTGCACAATTTAACATCGTCAATCATCAAAGAAATGGAAGATAGCACGTGTGTTAATTGTAATCTACCATTTGAAACCAGGAAAAAGGGGTTTAAAAGAAAATCAATTACAAAACTTGGTACTCCTTTGATAAAACTTACTGACATTTTGGACAAAAAAGTTAAAATTCCTTGTACACCATCTGAAAAATTATTTCTATGTAAGTTGTGCATCATTGACTGTGAAACTATATAAACATTCTGAAAACACTTTAAATAAAGGAAAAACATCCAAAATCTGCGATTCCAAGACAGAGAAAAAGAGAAAGCACACTGTCCTTACACCAGTTAAAATAACACCACTTAAATTAACAAAAAGAAAATGTTTGACATCAACACCCAAGTTTAAGCAAACTAATGAGACAACAAGACCCTCTTATTTGCAGAAATTAGGGTTTAAGGAAAAGGTCATTCAGAACCTGAAAATTTCCAGGTATGACAGGGTTTTTAAACTGTTATTCAAACACAGTAAAAGCGCTCGGAATGCACTGATGAAAGTCATTGGGAAGGCAATAAAGAAGGAGGTAAAAAATGCAAAGATTACGTCCTTTCAGAAGCCTGCAGACCTTGACGCATTTAACACATTCTCTTGGGGTACTGCCACGAAAGAGCTCTCGGGTGGTTTGCCTTTGCTCACCACTTTCCTCCAGGAGTCCCTGTGCAAAAAAAATAAAAAGGCAGTTGTGTAAGTTATTGAATTTTTTATTATAATTATTCCATAATAACTTTAATGCTAGTACTCAAAAAGTATGAAGATATGAAGAGTGGTATAGGAATAAAACAAAGAAATAGACTGCTTATAGTATTTCACTGGGTATAGCAGATTCTAATTTACTTTTATACCATAGATACTAGGTTTAGCATTACTCTATGTTTCTTATCTAAATTTTTCCTAAGGTTTAAAAATCCTCATCTAAATTTAAATTTAAACCCCATTTAAATGGGGTTGATTGCCAGTGACAAGATATAGCTTGATTAGTAAAGGACCCAAATAAGATTCAGAAACCCCCACTTTGGTTCCAAATCTGGTGCCATATTTTTGTGCCTCCCTAAAGCAAAGGGACATTAAATCTCATTTGTCTGTCAGTCTGTCACAAAAACTTTAACGTTGGTCATAACTTTTGAATAATGCTTTTTTTCCCTGTAACTTTTGACTGAGAAGAGATGGGGCTTTTATATTTGACATGTGGATTACCTGAGACAAGATGCCTTGGAGCATGCTATGGTTTTTGACCCCTTGACCTTCATGTTTGATTACTGTGTTATGACATAATTGATGAGGCATTCATATTTGACACAATATGCCATAAATAATGGCATATCATCACTAAGACACCGAAAGCGGGGGACCATAATTTTTTGAATTTGCTTGTACTCCTTAATCCTGTTACAAAATTAACTCACATTTCCATAGATTTGTAATGTCGACCATGATTTGACTGAAATGAGACACTCTACCCTTTTAATCCTAAAGGATCTAGACAATTTATATCAAGATCTGGGTTTCAAGTTAACATTTTCATTAAAAAATACATAATATAGATTATTTTTATTACCTGTATTAAATCATGATTCTAGATCTGTAGCTCTCCAAATATGCATTTTCAGGGATGATCAAGGTAAATTTGGCCCTCTAGTTCCAGTCCTAGGATTTATCATGGGAACTATCCTCTATATCCAGAAACCACTCCAGCATAACTTCTTACAGACAATTGCTTCAATTGAAATGTACAGGTCTGGATGCAATCAGAAGGTATATATAATAAATATATATATTTTGTTTAACGTAACAAAGATTACTGGTACTCAATATTTCTTTAATTTTTATATCAGATAATAAATGTAAAAAAAAAATTAAAATCAAAATTTCTCTATGGTTTCAAAAGTTGGGCTGGTGCAAAGGAATCAAGGGCACACGATTAGCAGTAGACAGAATATGCACAGAATTTGACACAAATATCAAGACATGGAAAAGCTCTATAGAGGTGACTTTAATTTCTTAATGAGTTAATTAAAAAATAAATAAGTAGATGTATTCAGACCATTTTAATTGTGATCAACTCACACCTGAATAATATAACATGGATCAAAGAATTCCCTATTATAATTTTTTGACATGGCAAAATGTTTCACATGTATGCATGTTATTTCATTATCAACGTTAACTCTTTACAGTTAGAACTTGGTCACCATGCCGAAGATCACAGACCTGATATGGACCAACCAGCAATGCCAGAGTCTGACTCGGAGTTATCAGACAGTGATCAGCCTTCCTCTGATTCTGATAGTCTTGAGTCTGAAGTCATCCTTAGCAGTGAGGAGGATGCTGACGTAGTCCCACTCCCTTCAGATGAGGATGCTGACATAGTCCACCTCCCTTTAGATAACTCCTCCTTAGCTGAAGAGGATAGACAAGATCAAAGTACATATATTATATACGGCACATATATCATTAAAGCTAACATGTATATTGAAACTTATTTTATATAAATACCTTTGATATTTTAGACCCTGGATATAGCATTTGCTGGGACAACGTCCAAAAGCTTAGTATTAGCCGACACCACCTCCGACAAGAAAACAGAATGATGCTTTGGGCCTTGTGCTTTGCTGCTAAAAACCGTATCTCTTTTCGCCATCTTGATGGGCTAAATGACAAATGCTCTGTGAGAGATATCCAAATGCATGTAAGTTTTTTTATCAATAGCTTACTAAATTCTATAAACAAATGACCATGAGCTCATTATCATTATTACTTTTACTTTGTGAAAAAAATTTCATAGGTATCAGCTTTAATGTATATCGATCATAATGATATCATTATTGAGTACATACTCAAATATGCATATACCACATTTCATTTACAGAACTACCTACCATCTGCTGGGGATTGACAGTTATTGAGGTGCAGGATGGAGCATGTTGTAAAGACTTTACTGTGTAAATATATCCCACAGTTCAGTGACATACACGTCGAGGACATCACCCATCAATATTCAGAAATTTCTGAAAGAAAATCTGAGATAGTAAGTAAAAGTATTCAAACAGTATGGAATGCAGTACAAATATATATTGCAAAATAGTTTTAGACATTGTAATAAACTTTATTTCAAATATAAATTATGCACATAATATAAACTATGTGATAATTTTTTCATAGGTGAACCTAGGGGTCATTCAGGAGAATCCATCCTCTGCACGTGGAACCCTGGAAATTTTGAAAATACTACACCAGTATGTACCAATAGGAGAAGATGACCATCCTTACCCAATACTTTGCCATGGTGACCAGCTGAGTGTCGAGAGGATGGTAGAAGCCAAATTGTTCATGGCCTTTAGTGAGGACCCTGATGACCAACTCACTGGCCTCATCCCTCGTCCCCAGGGTTTCCACAAAAGATGCATCATCCTCCAAGACTCCATGAATATGCTGTTTGATGGGAGAAGTGTGGGTGACAAAGGGTCCCTGTGTCACATCAAGAACAAGTTCGGCTTTCGAACTGTTAAGAAAAAGATATCAGACTGTATAAATTCAGTGGTAGACTTTTTTAATTTTGTAACTGAGGCATGTGTGTGCATGATTGCATGTAAAATTTTGAACATCAATGACATTGATGACATCATAGATGCACTACCTCATGACAAAACTGACAGACATACCTTTTTCAATGAATTATGTGAAAAGGTGGTAAGGTTAGCTTGGCCTCAGGTTGATAAGGAATCCATACGTCAGGTAACAGTGGTGGCGGACGACACCCAGGAGCCTACTGAGGACCAAGATCTTTTCCTTGATGACACTGTCATCTACTGGGAAGATGGTCATGAATTAGAAGACACACTGCCTTACTATGATGACTCTGAAGATGAATTTGGTAAGACAAAATTTGGTTCCAGCTGTTTCAACATAATAAGTCAATAATAAGGCATAGTACGGTATTTAATAGACAATTCTTTACTTACTAATAGATGAACCAGAGGCAGAGGTACAAGACAGTGGTGATTCAGTCTTCAACTATAGCCGCTGTTTACTATGGAGAGGACTCCTTCACATGGTCCAGACCAATGCTGAAAGATGCAACAATGGTGACCATATGATTTCAGACTGGAGGATGGACATGGTTGAATTCTGGAACAGGAATCACAATAAGTACCTCATTTTGGGACATAGATTATTAGCAGGTAGTTCACAATAAAAAAAAACTATTTTTAATGAAATCCCTGTTTTAAAAAATATAAAATATCAGCTATTAGTTAACTTGAATGTTTATGCATGTAGTTCCTATTCATTTGTTTACAAGGTGTGAGTGGGTGTTTACCTTCAAGACTTAGAGAAGAAGTCATTTGGAACAGCACAGCCAATTTGGTGGGCAAGCCTGGCCACAATATTGCTCTGGATCTCGTAAATGAATTTCTAAATAATGAATTCAAGTGTAAGTTTTTTAAACAGTTATTACATTGATGTTCACTGAAAACTATAAATCTCAAATGATCAATTTTCAGAGAAAAACATATTCTGTACTTACAGCAAACCTAAGAAACTGTCATGGCCAGTACACAGATGCTCAAGTATCCAGGTGCAGCAAGATTGTTGGAAGTGTAGGTAAAGCCATAGAAGAGATATTCTACTCAGAAGTTGTGAAGGACTTCATCCCAAAGGCTGCAGCAACTGATGGCACCTCTAAAACCAAAATCAACAAATTTATCCGTGAATATAGAGAAGAAGATTTATTTACAGACAAAGGTGACAGACATCACACTGGTTTTCATAATTTTGACCACAAAATAGAAATCAAGAATCCAGAGAAATTGCATGCGAGACTACAAAAATATGTCAAAAACTTGGAAAATGAAGAATATATTTACAATTGATGAGTTTTCTAGGAGGAGTAACTTCCCCTGTTTTAGAATATATTTCATATAATACAAAGTAATTACCTCCGGAAAATGTTACAGTGGATTATAGCTGCAGATCTGGATCATTACTGGGTGTGGCATGGACATGTGGCAGAGCAGAGGTTACAGCATCTACACCTTAGACACTCACACTCTGCACATTGCGAGTGACATTCAGGAGCTAGTGGTGCAGAGGAATGACCTATAAAATGTTTTAAGACAGATTCCCTGAAGCATTTTACTTGAGACTTGTCCATCATTTTACACAGTTCCTTCATATTGTCAGATGCTTGTAGCAGTGACCCGGGGGTCACATAATAGAGGGCCTTTGCTTTCCTTCCATCACGCCCCGCTCTTCCGACCTCCTGCCAATAGTCCATGATTGAGTCACAGGCTCCCCAGTGAATGACGACTTCAATGTCTGGGATATTGATCCCTAAACCAAAAGCTATGGTGCATATGACTAGTCTAATAACACTTTCGGGTTTTGTAAACTCCTTGAGTATGTAGTCCAGATCCTTGTCTGTCATTCCTGCATGGTATAGAGCAATATGGCTGTTGTGGAAACCCCTTTGTTCCTCCAAGTAGGCATGCTGTCTAAGGTACCCTAGAATATCCCTGTAAAGGTTTCCTCCACGACTCAAGCTCCTATATTTTAATTTAAGTGCTTTGAATCAAAATGAATCCAACATAATGGCAATAATGAAATATTGATGTACATTGTTATTAAAGTCTACTGTAACTAGAATAGACTTCTATATAGTGTTTTATTATATGATTGAATAATTTCCATCTCTCTGATTGGCTGAGATCCAACTATGTTAGAAAAATATTACGTTGTATTGACCTGCACGTGACGTTCCAGGTCAATACAAGGATTTATTTCCTCTACATTGATCTAAAAATAGATTGGGAAATTCCAAATTGATACAAATTGTTTTAGAAAGCTATTTAAACGACTATGATTTTTCTTTTCATGTGAACAAAACATAAGCAAATATATATTTTAGGTGAGGGTGGTAAGAGGGGATGCAGGGACCTCCCCCCCCCCCCTTCCAACACTTTTACTGAACAACAATTTTTGTTTCACTTTTTGGCAGTCAGTTTTCCCTGATAATACTGCTTTCTTTCAAAATATATCCTATAAAAAAGACTGACATTGTATATTTCATTCATGGCTGCTAAAATCGATTTTTTTTTTTTTAAAAATTCAAATTGATACGACTGGTAGGGTTTATTAACATTTTAATTCTGCTACTCTCTTGTATTTGGCTAGGACTTAATAAAATGCAAACAAGTAATGAGCTGTATCATTTTATCAGTGAATCATATAATAAAACAATTATTGCTGTTTTTTCGGTCAATACAATGATTTAGCCATCTTCGAAGTACAATATTCACCTCGCCCTTCGGGCTCGGTGAATATTGTACTCCTCAGATGGCTAAATCATTGTATTGACCTCAAAAACCAGCAATAATTGTATAATGTTAGACTTGTCATGCTTTACATGTGTGCAAATAATAAACTTACAGTTAATCATTCTATTGATTTTTAAATGTTCAGAAATTATTGTTCTGCCATATTTTAATTATTACCTGACATATATCAGCGTCTTCCTTGTCCTGATGCCTTTAGTTTTAATTTCGTTGAAAAGCCAACCCACCTCTCCAAAAATATCCTTAGATCTCTTATATTCAAGATAAATTTCTGGCCTGTCAAAAGTAAGAAATTTTAAAATTGTTCCAATTTAAATATAACTGTTTCACAAAAAGGGGACAAATTTGACTCAATGAATAGGCTTATGTCAAAAGGAAAAAAATAATTTTAACAGAGAGAAGAATACAATAAAACCCTTTTTGTTTCCTACAAAATATTTTTACCTGTCTGGAGACGCAGTAAATAATTTAAGCCGAGGAAGGTGAATCTTGGCCGTCATATGCTGTAAAACCTGGGGTGTACATGTTCCTGTTAATAGCAGGTATGGAACGTCTGGAAAGTGTGAGCGCAGCTCACCGAGTCGTGCGAACGTAGGTCTAAATGTATCACCCCTTTCATTAAAAAATTGAATAAATAATTATATATTTTAACCATAAATATATGAACATTATAAAAGCTATATTGATAGGGAAATTCAGTGGAAAAATAGTTTTTAAAAAATTAAGTTTCATATTAAATTCTTACCATGATTCTAATACATGTGCTTCATCAATGGCAATTAAGCACACCCTTTCTCTATACACTTCAGAGCTCAGTATGAAGTCTCCCCATAATTCTGTTTTCAGCAATGTCTCTGGAGACATGTATAATATAGAGTTATCACCAGTCTTGATCCCTGTTTTGATTGATATCAAAGATGTAAATTAAATTCTGCCAATAAAAAGTCTTTCATTTTTAAATTTCATGTCCTTAATCTGTGAAACAATTTTTTTGGTAGAAAATATTGCTATGTTTTAAAATAGTTGGATTTCTTTACATTTTAGGCATGTATTTTATTCACTTTTTAAATCATTTTTGCGGGTTGCTTATGAATATAGTTGTTATATGTATATATGTTATTGTTTACCATTTTCTGTCTGATTTTGATTCATACACTACAGTGAAATTACTTCTATTATTAATTCACAATCTACATTAAGTGACTAATGAAAAAAAACTACACATAGTAAATACCTTCAATGACTTCAACAGACATCTCCTCTCTGCTCTTTATAACAGCAGCTGATATACCATGTCTTGAATTATGCTGACATTGATCAAGCATGAGGCTTTTCAATGGCGAAATAACAATACATATATGCCTGATGTTGGAATCAAGATCTAAAATTAAGGGGGGTAACAGAAAACAAATACTCTTCCCAAACCCAGTTGGGAAAACGCCCACACAGTGCCTTTTCTCAAGTATTGCATTTACCACAGACTCTTGTTGGTCTTTTAATTCAAAATCAAAATGAAAACGTGGTTTGATCTTATCCTCAAATATTTTCTTAATGGAATCCGCCATATTTTCACGTGTGAATGTCAAAGCTAGTGTACTACGTCACAACTTCTACACTTTTGATTAGAGTACATGTTTTCAGACGAGTTTAGAATGAGAAAATTAAATGAAAGTGTGTGTAAATTTTAAATATGATTGTTTGTTGCTGAATGTCTGAAAAAAACAAGAACAACAAGTAAAATTCGTTGTCATCTTTTATTTTTTACGAAATGAATTGAAATCGACAGGAACGAGTGTTTGTTGCCATTGTAAACACGTGAAATGCCGGTTAGAGTTCTTTCCCTTTGTCACGTGACCATAAACCGAGATCTCGCTCTCAGGTCAAGATGGCTGTCAAGAGGCGAAAATTTCAAACTTTTGACGTTCCGAAGCTGATAAGAGCGATCTGAAATATTTCCAATGGGTTTAAAGTGACGAGAGTAGTTCATTTGGGTCTAAGGAATTTATAGAAAATAAGCTTTCGTGCAGTTGAGGTAAGACATTGGAGAAATAAATCTGAAACCGAGCGCAACTTTTCGTGCGCAATAAATATACAGTTTTTTCAATGGGTGGCACTGTAGCTCTCCGGTCTATCAATATATATTTTTCGGAGAGCTACAGATCTGCAGCTAATTTTCTCCAGTTTGCATCAGTCAGCAAGATAGGCATGGAGGATCTTCACACGGTATATGTTTCTTTGAATATGTATTACTAATAATTTCTTTTTATCTTTCAGGAATTGGTACAATCTTGATGACCTGATACCAGATTTTTTCCCACTACTTTTTATTCATTATTAAAGAATTTTTGAAGAAATCTTTTTATTTTTGAATTATTTTATTATTTCAAAGTTCAGTCTCTGAGCTCAAGAGTATATAACTGATTTTTCTTTTCTAGTTTAATTCATTATTAAAGAATTTTTAAAGAAATCTTTTTAATTTTGAATTTTTTTATTATTTCAAAGTTTAGTCTCCGAGCTCAAGAGTATATAACTGAATTTCCTTTTCTATTTTAATAGTAGCTGACCTAAATAGTAGCTAGTTTACTTAGTGTTTTTATTCTGTGTATAGTATAGTATAGTAATAATAGTTTTTCTTTCTTTAAGTGTTTATATTTAGAGTTTAACCGCTTCTTTCTGTTCAGCTAAAATCAGTATCGTCACTAGATTATTATTAAACAGTTTTTTTTCATTTATTATTTCTGGCTTTAGTTTCTCAGATCAATAGCATTTTTTTGTCTCTAGTATAATAGAAGCTGATCTAAATAGTAGCTATAGTTATTTTGTTTTTTGTAATTATAGTATAGAGATAGTTATCCTCAATAGTAGCTAGTTCCTTTTTTCTTGTTATAAGCAACGTCACTAGACTAATTTTTATGTACATGTATTAGTTCTTTTTTGTATTTATATATCTTTTTTGCTTTTTTTAAAAACTGCCAAGCAGTACATATATTTTTTTTATTTTCGTTCATTCATCACGTCATTACTTCATCAAAAAACAAAAAATGGCATCATTTCCATGTGGCAAATGTGGAGAAGAATGCGATGGAAACCGAAACATTGGCTGTGACAGTTGTGACCGCTGGTTTCACCAGAAATGCGAACTTCTAAATAACCATCAATTTGCATTCCTCCACAAAACAGATTTGCCCTATGTTTGCTACTTCTGTTGTATGGACTCAAGTGGAAATTTTGATTTCCTGTCCGGCTTGCAAAGGTTGTCGCAGCATTCTTTGACAAAAGATGCAGCTAAGTTAGAGTCCATCTTCATAAGGTCACTAGCAACAAAATTTCAATTCTCATCGGCTACAGGACCTTTCGTAAAGGATAATGTAGCAAGTGGCCTTATGGGTCCAAAGTCAGATTATCTGGCAGTAGAAACAACTGGAGATGGCAACTGCTTATTCAACTCGTTGTCACTTGCTATTCAGAGTAACGAGTCGTTGGCCACAGAATTAAGATACAGGACTTGTATCGAGATGATATCAAACCGAGATTACTACATGCATCTCCATGACAGCGATAACCTCTCCTTCGTAAGCGACAGTTTTGAGGAATCAATTGCCAATTGTGCCAAAAATTATAGCTTTTCCTCTCCAATCACAATGCAAGCTGCTGCCACTGTAATATGAAAAGCGATCAGATCCTTTTATCCAGCAGTAAATGGCATTTTTTATTCCTCCATCGGTATTCTAAACCGTACCTTCAAGCCCAGGAACTCATCATCTGAAAGAAATCCAGTCTGTATATTATGGTCCAGCGTCAGTCCCTTCTCAGGGACTGGTACTTGGACACCAAATCATTTCGTCCTCCTTCAACCTCAAGGAACAACTACATGTATCCTAGATGTTACAAACGAGTCTGATTTTCCTCCACTGCCAACAACGCCACAATCCAGGTACATGCAATCCAGCACACCGCTGTTAAGTGAGAGAAGAGAATACTCAAGCTCGTCTGACCTTGTCAGAGACGAAGAGGATCCACCGTCGGTAAACTTTGACTTGTTGGACTCAAGATCCTCTCTTCAAGAGCTTCTTCCAGATAATGAAATGAAGCCAAACTCCAAACTGATTGACAGTGACTCGTCATTGCAGCGTCTTCTTCCACACACCAATTCTACTGTTAGTGGCAACAAGACTTTATCCAGCACTGTTACCAGTGAAATAGAGAACTCAGAAAGCGGCCCTCAAAATTCTCTAGATGGGAAGTTTACCGATTTTGAAGACTGACTCTCTGAAAATTCTTTCCGAAGCAACAGTGGGGGAAAATCTGAAAGCAGTGCCAAGCGGACGGATGCTAGTTGACAGTGACATGAAATCCAAAAACAGATCATTTGTAGATGATTGCGGAGCCTGGAACAACCCCTCTCTAAAAACCCATCACTATTTGGCTTCAAACACAGGTACCTTTGACTATGTTGACAAGAAACAAAATCAATTTTACAAAAAGGAAAAGGGTAAAATGGTCTTACTCGATCCTCAACCAGATGTATATTCAATAACAGTTCTCAATCGCTATCATTCGACACTGAACCAGAAGTCTCTGTCGAGACTGTAGCTCTACTGGTTTGTACTGATCAAAAACCGATGCACAGAATTATGTATCTTAATGTAGTCTACTTGTGTGATAAGTTATATTGAAATCAGACCAAAACTGTAGAAGGAGTAGCGTTTTAAAGGAATTTCTCAGAAAATTCTATTTCTAGTAAGCATTGCAACACCGCTCATCGAAATCAAAAACCGATGCACTTTTTTATGTATCTTAGTGTAGTCTACTTGTGTGCTAAGTTATATTGAAATGAGATTAAAACTGTAGAAGGAGTAGCGTTTTAAAGGAATTTCACAGAAAATTCTATTTTTAGTAACCATGGCAACATCGTTCATCGAAATCAAAAACCGATGCACTATTTTATGTATCTTAATGGAGTCTACTTGTGTGCCAAGTTATATTGAAATCAGACTAAAATTGTAGGAGGAGTAGCGTTTTGAAAAATTGTTTACAGACAGACGGACAGACAGACGGACGGACGCCGGACGCATTACTATCGCATAAGCTCTTCTGGCTCCGAGGTTATAAAACTTTTACCGTACTCATACTCAAACTCCAACTCCAAACTCCGAGTACGAACTCCGTAGAGTACGTTTCTAAAATCGAGGTTATAAAACACTTGGAGTACGTTCTCTACCGAGTCAAACTCCATACGAACTCCAATTCTGGAAATGGAAATCTTCAGCTTTAGGAGGTAAGAAAAATGTAAACATAAATATTAAAATGCGGGGCCATGCACGTGCTAGTACCTGGCATATGCCTTATAAGGGCAAATATGTACGTCTGCAAATGTAAATAAACGCCTGCTTCATTCTGTCATTCCATAAATTTGATAACATGGAGAACAACACACAGTCAACACAAGAAACATCAAAACCAACACAAGAAACATCAAAAAAACGGAAATGGACAGAAAACGAGGAGACTGTGTAAATCCAATTCGTTGTGGAGAGGGAGGGTGATTTATTTGGGGATATTAAGGGGGTGGGTACAAAGAAGAAGTCAGTTGCCAGGAGAGAGGGATGGGGAGAAATTTGCGGACTCTTGAACTCGTAAGTATTAATGTCGTTACATAATTATATTGAAAGACTGAGACGTTGACGTTGTAATTTATTATTAGCTTATTTACATTATAAATATGTGTAGGTCACCAGCTGGTTAAATGTCACGATCACAGTTTATTATAGTTCAGTTTTCACTAAAAACTTGAAATCTGCTAATCTGATCAGTCTCTACGAAGTAATTATTTTTAATAAATGACCGCTGAAAGCGAATAATGATTCGCACGAGCTGCCATATTTTCACTTTCGCTTTAGTCAAACATGGAAGTTCGCAAGTTTGCGAGTTGTGAGGATTTAAAAGATATAGTGCAGTCTGAGAATTCAAAACGATTAACAAGGATATCTGTTAACATTTTTGGGAATACTTTGCACATACTATTTCATGGTTGAATTCGACTTTTCCACTCGGCGAGCAGAGTTTTAACGATGTTTACGGAGACCAAAGAAAATAAAGACAAGCATGCTGTGTATGATTGTGTAGATAAATTATCGTAGAAGACAC